CTATGTATTTTTGTCAATAGTCCTAGAGACGTTGATTACTTTAATTGATGACAAAAAGGTCTACATGATCTGCAACATGCAGATGTTCTCTTTTTCCTAGTTTGCTTGGGAAACATCACAGTGAAATCCCTTTCCCTATACTCTAAAATAATTATCCTTAACCTCCCATTTATGTTAAAAATATTTCATTCAAAGGACAACTAAGCAGTTGACATGGTCCTGGTAGATAAAATATGTGGAACATCAAAAGAAAATGATTTATTTAAAAGTAAATAAATAATATTCTAACATGGCTAACATCAGCTCACATGAAGGAGTATGCTCTTGCAGAAATTCTGGGTGGTAATATAAAAAGACATATGCTATCAGAAAGGAAGTCACCCAAATCAAATGGTTCAAACCAGGGGTGGGTTCTACTTACCTTTACTACTGTTTTGCAATGGGAGTGTGCTCGCATATGCAGATCGTCCATTATGACGTCCGGATGGATGAGCGGAGCCTCCCACCGCTTTTACTACTGGTACACAAGAACCGGACAGAACCAGGAGCAACCCACCACTGATTCAAACAATTTCAATTCCATCTCTGAATGAAAATTTAGATTAAAAGTTTGATGATTTAACAACAGTCATAAATCAGTCTAAGGCTGATACTCAGATACAGGTAATAGCAGCTAAATCAGACTTGCAATTGGGTGGATTGGAAGTCAATTTGTTGCTGACAGAATTGGAGGAAAAAGAATTGCAGGCTCATTGAAGGCAGCAGAAAGAGGCATGAATTTAAAAGGCTTAGAAATGTCAATATGGTTCAGTAATGAACTTTCATAAGAAAACTGATGGAGATTGTGGAATAGACTTACATTCAGTTAGAAGATGACTGTTAACAGATGTTGTGATTCAACTTGTACAAAAACCTTCTGAACAACAAGAGCTGCGGAAATATTCACAACAGAGTTCTATGACTTTGGGAAATGAGATGCAATTGTTTGGAAATATTCCAGTTATAATTTTAACTTTTATTATTAAGAATCAATCGAAGATATTTGATCCTGGACAGATCAGAGATAAAGACTTCAGTGATCTATGGTAGATTAGAAGCCATTGTGGACTTTCTGTGTGTGAAATACAATAATAGATTGTTAACAGAGGACTTCGAAGTTTAGTTTTGTTGTTGGGTTTACTTGTTACCTGTTTTCTTTTATATTAAATAGATGGTGGGTCAAATTAGCTGGGCAAATAGAGTTGTAGAAATTAATCATATTTTAATTTCTATATGACTATTCAGATTAGTTATGCTTACCCTTTGCAACATCAATACTGAAGGAGAACAAATAATTAATGTGATCCTCCTCCCAGATATAAATGGAATTATCACACATACAGCAGCAGAATTTTGTGAGCTGATGTTATGTGTCAGTTGTTCCTTTAATTGATAGGTGTTCATATTTCATTTGTAATATTAAGCATATACTGCTTATTATCTTGAAAATATTGTTGGTTTTTAATACTGAAACATTACAAGTATTCCTGGAAATAATTAAAAACACCATTCTGTTGCCTGTTTGGCTGATTAGAAAATCTGTCTTTTGAAATGGCTGACAATGTGCCTGCTCTGTACAGTTGTACAGCTTTTCCAATTTCAGTTGAAGTGCCTTCTACCTGCTTCTTTTTCCTTCTCAGAGCTTTTTACAAAACCAATCAAAGCAGCAGCTTCATTCTTCTTGCAACGACACATTGTTTTATGGACATGGGTTGCTTGGAGTTCATGCTTTGTTTTCCTGGGAAGTTGGCAGTACTGCAAAAGATAACGGAAGGATTTGTAGGAAACACACTTGTTATACTGCTAAAGTTAGTAACCTGCAGAAAATATCGAGTTCCTAGTTCTCAACAATTTTATCAAAACTTTTCTTTGATTTTTTTAAAAAATATTCTTATTTATCCTATTGATTTAAAGAATAGAAAATAGTGGAAAATATTTCCCTTTATATGCATATGTGATGTCTGAAAGACAAGTTATTTGTATGGAATGCTACTTTTAGCCACAAATTCTCATTCCATTACTTCTGTGTTCTTTGCTATGAGGAAAAAGTGGCATATTACTAAATACACCAATTATTTGGTAGCTCTGTTTCTTTCTATCTTTCTCATAATTACATGCTCACTTGCTCCTTGCTGTATAGCTGTATTCAAAATATGTTCTGTAAGTAAATATAAATTATCAATGCATCATTAAGGATACAGGCTGAAACAAATAAAGGAAATAAAATGAAGAAATTGGTAATAAGCACTAATGGGAAACTTTTGTAATACACACAAGTATCACTCCATGGACAGTAAAATTCAACCTGGTAACCTTGTAATTCCAGGTACTAATGAATTGAATATAGAAGTACTTAAAATGATATGCATAAAGATCAACTGTTCTCCTACAAGCAATTTGTATTTCAGTTTAATGGACAATAAGCTGTGTAGAAAGGTTTGCAGGGCAGTTCTTCCAGTGATATCACAGAATAATGTAATGAGAAAAGTAGATCTGTATGCAGATTCCTAAAGTAATGTATTACAAATTTCATGGAATTTTATCTTTCATTTTAGGATTAATACAACATTGCCATGAAGCTGAGGGTTTCTTTTCGCCTCAAGATGACTTTTCAGTGTGGTATAAATAAGAAGTGCTGCTTTTCCTCTAGTGAAGAATGTTTTCTTAAATCATACCTGGAGCTGACTTTTTATTTTATAAGCTTGTTGCCAGCTCTGACAGCCAAAAATACAAATGAACTGCAAGAAGTAATAATCAAAGTGAAGAAGCACAATGAAAAATGAGACTAAAATTAAATATAGCAAAAAGCAAGTTAATGATGACAGGTATAGCAATGAGCTTTAAAATTGACAATTATGATATTTAAATAGTACATATGCCCACTTTTTAGAATTATCAACAGCAAAGGAAGCAGCTGTCAAATACATACTGCAGACTAGCCCTTCGAATGTATCAAATGCAAGCAATCAGAGCCAGTCTTGAATAATGAAAGTCAGTAATTCTATTATCTACCACATATGCTACAGCAGTCTCATCAGACTGTTTTCCTTCCCTTAGGTATGACCAGATAAAGCTTCATGGAACTTGAGGGGGGGGGCGGTAACAGGTTTGTGACACTTGTGGCTGCACAAGTACTTCAAGCTAAATCCTCACTTGACTCCTCCTTCTAGGCTGGCTGGCAGTTTTTCATTCCCTTTCCCACTGCTATTCCCAGTATGGTGGCAATGAACATTTTGGAAAATATATTCAAATATTATGTCTATACCTATAGATATCAGAAGCTTACAATTGTTTTACCTGTGACATTCTATGGATCTGAATATTGGAATGTTAAGAAGCAGGAGAGAAAGATATTGAAGCTTTTTGAATTTTTGTTTTGGAGACTATTGTAACAATACCATGGCTACCCAACACCTACTCCTACAACAAATCTTAGAACAAATCAAACCAGAGTTCTCACTTGAGGAGGCACATTGATTAAGCTCCAATTACCATATTTTGGACACATTATAACAAAGGGTATGTCAAGATTCCGACTGACAGACCCAACCAAGCAGGCCCTATCGAGACAATCCAATCTCTTTAGGCAAAGCTTTATTGAGTACATCATTTTGGCACAGATTAAGGCAAAACCAGATCTGGCTATTTCCTGCGCAATCCCGTAAAATTAAAGTTTAGAATCCTCCCTTCCTGTCTTGGTGCAAGTCACATTGTCCAATTAAAAGCAGTTGAATTATTATGAGAAAATACTTCTGAGGATCTTAGCCATCTGTTGAAATGTCCTTGGTTCCCACAGGTTGCTCTCTTGATGCCTGGAGGACCCTACATTCCAATCCAATTAGTTCATTGGCAAGCTGAGAGGTGATAATGGTTGCAACAGCATAAGCAAGCTTTGAAGTTTGACAGGGTAGCTGCCTTGATTAGTCTAAAATGCTGGTAAAGATGGCCAGCAGTAAAATGATTGGGTTACAATAGTGATGGGTGCACCCCTAGAAAGTATAAAGGGCCAGGATGGGAACAGATTATCCTGGGTTTAACTATTGGTCATGAGAAATGTACACCAATTTGATGTCACATAACTGATAGATTACACATTCAATCAATGTTACAACTTATAGCATTTGTGAACAGTAATATTCCTGAAACAGCACCTGTAAACATTTCAACTTCCTCAATCCTTTTGTTTTAGAAAAAGTTATGGAAAAAACCTACTTTCTGTGATTTCTTTTATTATATTCTCATTTACATTTAAGGGAAAATTATGAAAAGAGACCTTTTGCACATGCAGGAACAGCACAGCATAGCAACTTTCTGCACATGAGAGAAACATTCAAAGACAAATTGATATTCATACTGAAATTGCTGAAAGAGACAAAACCTGTTGTTACATGCATAGTTTCATCTGTATAGATCAGAGTTTTAACAAAGTATAATTTTCTACCCTTTTTATGTTTTGTCTGTTACTGGCCTTTATTGAAACAATTCCAAGTACTAATGTTGACTTTTAAAACCTAAGTATGGATTAAAGTTAAAAACATCATAGGAACTGTTCCTTACATACAAGTCTGCCCATATCCTAGAATCTGATAGAGAATCCTCTTTCAATTTCCAGACCTCAGTTGATGAGAGCAAGCAAAATTACCATTTCATTAGCTGCCCCTAAATTGTATAGTTCTCTGCCCTGAGTGTCCAGACTAGTTTTTGTTATTGTTGTTGTTGATGATGACAACATTGAGGAAAATAGCTGCTTTATGGAAAAATAAATGTTATTTAATGCCTTATTTTAAAAACTGAACCAGCCTATATATTAAATTTTCCTTTTTCCTTTGGATGTATTCCTTATTTATTTTACTTTTTATTAGTTGCATGGAGGCAGGGCACAGTTATTTAATAATAAATTAATTATTAATTTAATTGATCTTGGTTGCTTCCCCCCCCCTTTTTTTTTAATTTTATTTCAGGAAGCATTATCAGTTGTAAGTGAAGATCAGTCTTTGTTTGAGTGTGCCTACGGGACTCCCCATCTTGCTAAGTCAGAAATGACCGCTTCGTCTTCCAGTGAATATGGGCAAACATCAAAGATGAGTCCACGTATCCCCCAACAGGACTGGTTATCCCAGCCTCCAGCCAGAGTCACCATAAAAATGGAATGCACCCCAAATCAAGTTAACGGCTCAAGGTAAAAGGGAAAAAAACCAAATATGTAAAATGAAGCTTTATTTTAATTTGTGTCTACATGCATTTCCCTGGGAATTTCCCTGAGTATGAAATTAAGAGCAAGCCTTTGAAATACTTGTCTGTCTCCTATTTCTCTTTCCAAGGAAGAATATAAGGGAGATGCCATGTTTATCCAAGTATGAAATCACACACATGCAAACACAAAAATAAATTAGACAAAAGCCCCACACCATCCAGCTTTGCTATGTTGCTATTATGAATTCACTTGCCTTCTCTGCATGCCTTTGGTTAGCCTTAACCTTGAGTCAGGTCAAATACTGTATGTTTCTGTAAATCATCTTTCCATATTTAAAGTGTATATATATATATACATATATATGCATATTCTTTCTAGCCACAAGTTTCTGGGCTTTTTTTCTGTTGACAAACTGCAACTCTGTGTTGCTCTCCTGGGAGACTCAGATAGCTATTTCTGCCTTTTAAGGCATCATCAGTGAGCCACACCCACTTCTCAGATATCCTCCCTGTAAAGGTACAATGTGTCTTTTTCTTTTTCGTAGGCTTTTATGTGCATATTCTTTCTAGCCAGGTTTTACCTACGTAAACTAAGTTGTTCTGCAGCCCTGGTTCTGTGAAATCTCATTCACAAGCTTCTGGGCTTTTTTTCTGTTGACAAACTGCAACTCGTGTTGCTCTCTGGGAGACTCAGATAGCTATTTCTGCCTTTTAAGGCGTCGTCAGTGAGCCACACCCACTTCTCAGATATCCTCCCTATAAAGGTACAATGTGTCTTTTTCTTTTTCGTAGGCTTTTATGTGCATATTCTTTCTAGCCAGGTTTTACCTACGTAAACTAAATTGTTCTGCAGCCCTGGTTCTGTGAAATCTCATTCACTGACGACACCTTAAAAGGCAGAAATAGCTATCTGAGTCTCCCAGAGAGCAACACAGAGTTGCAATTTGTCAACAGAAAAAAAGCCCAGAAGCTTGTGAATGAGATTTCACAGAACCTCAAAAAGTGGGCGTGGCCAACTTTTTTTTTTTTACTTTTAAAAGCATTTTTTCTACAACCTCTTCAGCTGAAGAGGTTGTTAAAAAAATGCTTTTAAAAGCCTCTGACGATCCCAGCTGAGTTGCCTGATCGGCAGAGGCTTTTTTCTCTTTTAAAAGCCTCTGACGATCCCAGCTGAGTTGCCTGATCATCAGAGGCTTTTTTTTCTTTTAAGAACATTTTTTCTACAATCTCTTCGGCCAAAGAGGTTGTTAAAAAATGCTTTTAAAAGCCTCTGATGATCCCATCTGAGCCGCGCAATAATCAGAGGCTTTTTTTTTTTACTTTTAAAAGCATTTTTTCGGCGGAAGATGTTGTAGAAAAAATGCTTTTAAAAATTAAAAAAAAGCCTCTGATTATTGCGCGACTCAGCTGGGCATGGGGGGGGGGCAGGGATTTTTACTACCGGTTCTCCAAATCACCCGCCGCCATCGCTACTGGATCGGGTGATCCAGTCCGAACCGGGAGCATTTCACCCCTGCTTTACATTCTTTAAAATCATTTAGGACTCCAAACAGCGTTGGTTTATATGACTTATCTCAGTAGGACAGCATGATATTGTTATATTCTTAGTTTAGCATAGTCAGAGTGACTATGGAATATTTCAAGTTTAGAAAATTTTATATACGCTTAGCATTAATGAATATATTGTTACTTCTGTATTTATAACAGAATGTCACTACAGTATTATCAATATTAAAAAAATGCTTTGTTCTTTCTTTTACACTTGAAATTGCTGAATAACTGAATATTTCAGGCATAGATAATAATGGAGCCTTGAACCCGCAGAGCTTCCTGATGGCTTCTAAATTCATTTACCTACTATTGTTTATGATTTACCTTTATTCACTTTATTTTTTGTGAGATAGTCAGGAATGGACTGCTAATGCTTCAAAGTAAAGTCATGCTGCCAATTGTCTTTATTTCTCAGAATGTATTTGGTTCCTATAGAAAAAATCTAACGGAAACACAGAACATAAGCAAAGGCAAGTTGGACTTTGGCTTTCAAGTGCTTCCAACATTCATGCACCCAACACATTCAGAAACAACCGATACAATTCTCACTTTCTTATGAGAGGAAACTTGGTGATAGCTGTGGATGGAAAGCTAAGAGCAAATATTTCAAAAGGTAACTGGACTTTGTTTTTCTTTGAAGACTTTTCGCTTCTCCTCCAAGAACCTTCTCAGTTCTGACCAAATGGTGGAAAATGGAAGAATTTATATTCCTTGCAGTCATCTGGTTGTTAGTACTCTTTCTGAGAGTCGTTGCGGCCACCTGGAGGTTTATCTGTGCCCTCAGGGGACTGAGGTGGTCTCATATCCTTCCCCCTGTGTTGAGAAAGGGCTGTTCAATCTTAATGTAGATGGCCTCTTTGACCCCTCTTTCAAACCAAGGGACCCAAGGGGTTTAAAAGACCATCTATGTTAAGATTGAACAGCCCTATCTCAATAGAGGGGGAGGGACATGACACCACCTATCTCCTGTTTACAACACAGACCTTTCAGCAGCTCCAAGAAGGTTCCACATCCATTTGCACTATTCAGGTGACCCTGAGGGCAGAGATAAACCTCCACATCACCTCAACAAATTTCAGAAAGAGTGCTAACAACCAGATGACTGCAAGGAATATAAATCCTTCCATCCTCCACCATTCAGTCAGAATTTAAGAAGCTTCTTGGATGAGAAGCGAAAAACAAAGTCCAGCTGCCTTTTGAAAAAGAATGAGAATCTGCATAGACACTAAGAGCAAGTATGAACAAAATATACAATATTAACGCAAAAGATACTGATGGAATTTTAAAGGCTGAGTGTGGAGGAATGAAGCAGCAAGGTGGCAGGAGATAATGGGGATGCTGGGAATAAATTTGATAAAGCTGTGCAGAGCAACTGGAGAGATTAAAAAGACTGATGCTACTTGGTGGTGAAAGATAGCAGATATATGTATGTATGTATATATGAGAGAGGAAGGGAGGGATGGACAGAGGAGGGAAGGAAGGAAGATGAATTCTAGTTCAAATTGTGTTTTGTGGTTCCGGTTCTGCTTTTTATTGGGGTTCTTATTGGAAGAGTGGTGGTTGCACAATGGTTAGAATGCAGTATTGCAGGCTAACTCAGCTGTCAGGTGTTCGATCCTCACTGGCTCAAGGTTGATTCAACCTTCCAACCTTCTGAGGTTGGTAAAATAAAGACCCAGATTGTTGGTGACACTGTAAACAGCTTAGAGAGGGCTGTAAAGCACTGTGAAGCAGTATATAAGTCTATTGCTATTCTTGGTAAATTATTAACATTAGTATGATTAATTAATCTTTTTATTAAATGTGTGAAATAAAGATTTATTTCTTTGTCTATCAATTGCCTAATTAGCGGGAATTTGTGGCTGACTTGGCAGAAGCCCATTTCTTCAAGTGAAGTGAAATGAGGCAACTATACCCTTCTGGTGTTTAGAAGCAGAGATCTGTGTGATTTTTGGAAGCTGTTTTAAAAAAGTGATGTTCATATACCTTTTGTCAGAATGAAGTACTTTTCTGAGACTGCACAGCTCTAAGTTAAACTACTTCAGTGGCTTATAAGGGCTGTCTTGCACTTAATTTGAAATAATGAATTTAATCTTACACAACAGAAAAAGAATTGTATATATGACTCAATTATTTCCAAACTATAAGATAAGGACAACCAAGTGCTGGAAGGTTGCAGATGGTAATCACTTGACCGAGACATGCTGTGCCAGTTGCCAAGTGCCCAAATTGCCAAGGACTCTGTGACAACCACAAGTTTGAGGATCAGAAATCTATTTTTTCAAGTGTTAAATAAATTTAAAGTAACAAATATTCTGGGACAAACTAGTGTAAATGTATTAATCTGAGCTCAAGTATTGGGCAAATAGGCTCTTACTTATCATAGTATAGATTTATCTATTAATATTATGGATATTTTAATCATATCGTTTTATGTTGAATTATAATATTTTGCATTTCAGTGACATGTGGAATAATATGGAAACAAAGTAAACATATTTAAATGTTTTTTAAAAATAGAACTTTTAGAATTGAATCTCCTAAAATTTCATCATTGAACTCTCTGTTCCACCTGAATCTCTGACATCCATTGTACACTTCAGAAGCTAACAGAATCAGGACTGCGAGACGGTTCCTGAGATTGCAGATGAGCAGCACATAAAACTTTTCTTAGAGTACTTCCTTTACTTTTCAACTTTTTTAAAAAAAATATTCAATATTATCCGGGAATTTTTAAATTGTTTCCTTAGGACTTCCCCTGACAACTGCAGTGTGACAAAAAGTGGAAAGATGACTAATAACACTGAAAATGTTGGCATGAACTATGGAAACTATATGGAAGAAAAGCACATCCCTCCACCAAATATGACCACCAACGAACGAAGAGTTATTGTTCCAGCAGGTGAGCAAATATTTTTAAATAACTATTTAAAATGTACCTTATCACTAAATACAGTAGAGACCATCCATTCACATTAGGAATGTCCAAATCCCATACTGATTGCAGAATACAACTAGAGCGTACACTTAATTCTTCTTCATTGAAATTAACAGCATAGTGTTTAATTTGATAAAATTATTTTCAACGTCTCCAAAATCACTTTATACATAGATTCAAGAAGGAGAAAGAGAAGAAGGAGAAAAAGGAGAAGAAAGAGAGGGAGGAGGGGGAAGAAGGAGGAGGAGGAGAAGAGGAGGAGGAAGAAGAAGAGTAGTAATGCACTGACAAACAGGGGAAACTTGTTTAACTTATTTTTTCACAAGCAAAGGCTGGAGGAGACAAATCACTGAGATACTGAGATCATTGGAAGTGAGGCAGGAATTTTTGTCTTGTTTTATCCTCATTTTTATAGGGTTTTTGTAATTATATTTATATAATTTTTCTCTTAGATTTCTGCCAAAAATTAGTATGTTTTGTATTGTTAATTTTGGTCATTGCATTCAAATTAGGATTAACCTGGAGAAACAGGAGACTATAAGCAAGTTATGCTTTGCCTGTTTTTGTCTGACAATGTAATGTAGGATTTTATTAGAACAATTAAATCCAAGGATACATTATTGAAAAAAAAAAAACTCAGAAGGACTGCCAAATGAAATGAAAGGCTTATTTCCGGTTTTTCTTTGGACGATCTTGGTTGGCCAGCCTCCGTGAGAGGGGGGTTGGGCCACCTATTATCAGATCAAAATGGTGTTTGTACTCCCGCCACTGACGTGAGAGGGCAGTGAGGTCCCGTGAGTTCCATCTAAGTCCGGCATCCCGCTCCTTTAGACTGTTATAACATCGAAATGGACCCCTTGATTATTGGCCATGGGTCATCACATCCCCCTGATGTCAGATGTATTCGGTGAATGAACTTCATGCTCTGCGAGATTCCCCCCTCTCGCAGGTTTGGCCCTCCACGTTATCGAGGACCTATCTTGATGACGGGTTTTGGAACCCCGAGAGATGACATGCGGCAAAGAAGAGATTGAGGGGTTTTTAAAGTGGGTTTTTAATTAAAATTTTAAGGGGTTCGGGGGGGACCAGGGGGTGTTTGGGGGGTAATCCACCAGGGTCAAGACCGGGCCCTGCAAAGGGCTGCGGCATTAGGGACATAGGGTCGGATGTCAGGGAGGGGGCTGGAGCTCGACCTAGGGAAGGCTGTTCTATCAGTACTGTGGGTGGGAGGGGCAGATATGGTGGAAGCAGGGGGCCACATCATGTTCGGGGAGTGCGCACTTGCTATCTTCGAGCGATTGCACACTCCGGTCCCCAATGCTTCTCTCGTTCCCCAGGTTGTTCAGATCCTCAGGACCTGAGCCTCCGGCTGATGTTGTGCAATGCCAAGTCCGTGATAAATAAAGCCCCCCTCATTTACGATCTTATTCAGGAGGGAGGAGCAGACCTGGTGGGTATTATGGAGACCTGGCTGGGTCCGGAGGGGGGGTGCCCCTTGTGGAAATGTGCCTACCAGGTTTCCGGGCATACCATCAGCCGAGGGCTCAGGGAAGGGGCGGGGGGGTGGCGGTTATTATTAATGAAAGCCTATGTCCGAGGGAGCCACTGTTCCTCAGATAGCCGGATGTGAGTTCCTCCTTGTGAAGTGGGGTCAGGGGGTGCAGGTGGGCCTGCTGATTGCGTACCTGGCTCCCTGTGACGCAACAGTGGCCCTACTTGAGCTGCCTGACGTGATAGCCGGGGTGGCGGTTGATACTCCCAGGCTTATGGTTATGGGGGATTTCAACCTGCCATCGGTCAGCGAAACGTCTTTGGCAGCTCGGGAGTTGATGGCTTCCATGACGGCTTTGGACCTGACCCAGTTAGTTCGTGGCCCTACTCACACAGGGGGACACACTCTGGATCTGATTTTTGTCTCTGGTCAGTGGCAGAATGATCTAGAAATAGGGGATTTAGTCATCGAGCCCTTGTCATGCTTTGATCATTCACTCCTTCAACTAGACATTTGAACCTCTAACCCTCGCCGCAGGGAGATGGAACCGGTTAGATGGTTCCGTCCCAGGCACCTGATGGACCCAGATAGGTTCCTGATGGAGCTTGGGCCATTCCCTGAGGCTCTGGCTCACGGTTTGACTGAAGAACTAGTGGCGGCCTGGGAGAGGGCGGCTGCTGGGGCTTTGGATCGCATCGTGTCTTTGTGGCCTCTGACCCGGCACTGATCTCAATTGGCTCTTTGGTTCTCCAAGGAGCTGAGAGAGATGAAGCGCCAGAAAAGACACCTGGAAAGTGGTTGGAGGGCCAGCCGTTCTGAATCTGACCGAACACTGGTGAGGTCTCATATTAAGACCTACCTAGTGGCGATCAGAGCGGTGAAGTCTAGCTACTTTTACCTACTATTGTTTATGATTTACCTTTATTCACTTTATTTTTAGTGAGATAGTCAGGACTGGACTGCTAATGCTTCATGCAATATCTGCATGACAAAATCGCTCAGATTTGGGAGGGTTTGAACTCTGACTGGGTAGATCCAGATGGGGTGATGGAGGTGGGTCTTGAGAATGTTAGCTGGGAGGAGTTTGACCTTGTGACTCCCGAGGATGTGGACAGGATTCTGGGTAGGTTGAACACGGCCACATGTTTATTGGACCCGTGTCCCTCCTGGCTGGTGCTGGTTTCCCAGGAGGTTACACAAGGCTGGCTCCAGGGGATTGTCAATGCTTCTTTGAGTGAGGGTTTCTTTCCCGCTGCCTTGAAAGAGGCGGTGGTGAGGCCCCTCCTCAAGAAGCCTTCTCTGGACCCGGCTGTTTATCAAACTATCGTCCAGTCTCCAACCTTCGCTTTGTGGCAAAGGTTGTTTAGAGTGTGGTGGCACGACAGCTTCCCCAGTACCTGGATGAAGCGGACTATGTGGATCCATTCCAGTCGGGCTTCAGGCCTGGGTATAGCACGGAAACGGTATTGGTCGCATTGGTTGATGATCCCTGGAGGGCTCGGGACAGGCGTTGTTCCTCTGTCCTGGTCCTATTAGATCTCTCAGCGGCTTTTAATACCATCGACCATGGTATCATGCTGCGCCGGTTGGAGGGGTTGGGGTGGGGGGCACCATGATAAGGTGGTTCTCCTCCTTCCTCTCTGACAGTATGCAGTCTGTATTGGCAGGGGGGCAGAGGTCGACCCCGAGGCGCCTAGTTTGTGGGATGCCGCAGGGGTCAGTCCTCTCACACCTCCTGTTCAACATTTATGTGAAGCCGCTGGGTGAGATCAGCCGTGGCTTCAGGGTGGATTTCCATCAGTATGCTGATGATACTCAGCTATACATTTCCACCCCGGGCCACCCCAATGATGCCCTTGAAGTGATTACCCGGTGCCTGGAGGCTGTATGGATCTGAATGGGGAGAAACAAGCTCAGACTCAACCCTTCCAAGACTGAGTGGCTGTGGTTTCCGGCATCCCGTCATAGTCAGTTGGTTCCATCACTGACTATAGGGGGTGAGATCTTGGCCCCCTCAGAGACGGCTCGCAACTTGGGTGTCCTCCTGGACTCACAGCTGTCTTTAGAGGACCATCTGATGGCTGTGGCCAGGGGGGCTTTTTATCAGGTTCGCCTGATCCACCAGTTGCATCCCTTTCTGAAGGGGACGCCTTGCGCACGGTCACTCATGCCCTCATCACTTCCCATCTGGACTACTGTAATGCTCTCCTCATGGGGCTCCCCTTGAAGAGCACCCGGAGGCTCCAGCTGGTCCAGAATGCAGCCGCGCAGGTGATTATGGGGGCAACTCGATGCTCCCATGTAACACCGTTCCTGCGCGAGCTGCACTGGCTCCCGGTGGTCTTCCGGGTGTGATTCAAGGTGTTGGTTGCCACCTTTAAAGCGCTCCATGGCATAGGACGTGGGTACTTATGAGACCGCCTTCTGCCTCCGATAGCCTCCCACCGACCAGTACGCTTGCACAGAGAGGGTCTCCTCAGGGTGCCGTTGGTTAGACAGTGTCAACTGGCAACCCCCAGGGGGAGAGCCTTCTCTGTGGGGGGACCTACCCTCTGGAACGAGCTGCCCCCGGAGATTCGTCAGATTCCCGACCTTCGTACCTTTCGCCACGCCCTTAAAACATTATTATTCCATCAAGCAGGGCTGGCCTAAAATATTATTTTTAATGGGTTGTTTTATGTTATTTTAGATTATGGGCCAAGCTATTTAATAATTTTAAATTGGTTTTTAACTTTTATATTGTTGGTTTTTTATCCTGGCTGTACACCGCCCTGAGTCCTTCGGGAGAAGGGCGATATATAAATTTAATAAAACTAAACTAAACTAATTATTATTATTTATACATTTCATTTTATGGCTTTATATACCTACCTCACTCAACAGTGGCATACATAATAACAATAATTAATTAATAAAAATACATAATAAAAGTCTAAAAAAATAAACACATAAAGTACCAAGAAAAACCTCATTCAGTTTGTCATATTATTATTTCAAGTATCTTCTTAAAGTACCAGCACCAACCATTCCCTGATCTTCTGTGTTCAGACATATTGAAGAAAAATATTTATTTCAGTTGCTATCAAAACTTTCAGAGAACATCATGCTGGTTGTCATGGCACACAGTCTAAATATATGCCTGCTTCTCAGGATCTGAAAATAAGAAAAACTTATTTTACATTTAAGTAATGAAATACTATGTAATGAATTTGTTTAATTCAGTGACTTTGCTGAATCTTTAAACCACAAATATGCATAGTATATTTCACACTGCAATAGGGAAAATCTACAGAAAATTGCTAAAGACCTCTTCTAGAGCAAGTATTTACTAATACTTAATGTTAGGAATATTTATCTCTGATGATAAATCAGAATCACTTCTAAATGAAATGGGTGGCAAATAAATTTAGGAAGAAGGAACAAAATGGTATAAATATGCCCATATAGAAAAGGGAATAATGTATCAATTAGTTGGTGGGGAGAGGTTAACTATTTTATATCTTTAGTTGATATTCCAATTATTTAACATCAAAGGCTTTTCTCTTAAAATAGATTTCTACGTATTCTATCTGAGCCATATCTTGCACCACCAAAATGAATGCTGTGCTACAGTCTTTTTCAATTCCCCCCCCCCCTTTTTGCAATTCTATTTTAAGGTTTCCTCCCCCAGCCTTTCTCCCTCTCCCAGATTCAAGAACAAATCTGTTCCCGGAGTCTTCTAGCACACAGTCTTTTTAAGTTAATAAAAGAAAGAATTCTAGAATCATTTCAATAAAATTAATCAGTATCAGTAGAACATGTTTGCCCTGGGGAAAGAACTTAGATGTTTTTTCACAACTTTAACAAAACAACATTTTCTGCTTTCAAAATAGATCCTACATTATGGAGCACAGACCATGTACGCCAATGGCTAGAATGGGCTGTCAAGGAATATGGCCTCCCAGATGTGGACATCATGCTATTTCAAGATATTGATGGAAAGGAGTTGTGTAAGATGACCAAAGATGACTTCCAGAGGCTCACACCAAGCTACAATGCAGACATTCTTCTTTCACACCTACACTACCTCAGAGAAAGTAAGAAATAAATAGGTTTGATTTTTTTAAAAAGACATATGCTTATAAGATGCTAAATTCTCTCAGTTAGGAAATTATTGATTCTTTTTAAGAAAATGAAAACTAAAACAATATACATTTTATATGATTAGAATGGGTAATAATGTTTTTTCTGGTCACATAACTTTACTTTCTTTCCATTTCTGAATGAATTTCTGAATTCTAAATGAAATCATAGACATAATGATTTTGAGTATATTCAGGCATGTGTTCTATGCAACAAAATGAGCGCTTTAGAATATTCCATTAAAATTGATGTTTTCAGGTTTAAGAAAAGCCCCTCAAATATAAATAATATAAAGTAATATATAGCATTTAAAAGTAGGAAAAGAACAAAGTGAATTTTTATTTAAGGCATATAGAAAATGCTTTGGTTCTAAAAAATTTTTAAATGTAAGTGACCATTATTTTAATATCAGGCAGTGCAACACCAATATGTCATATTTTTCACAGATTTCATAATGAATATTATCATTAAGACATTCTTTAATATTATTCTGACTTAAAACTCCCGCTTCCAATAGAAAAATCATAAACCCATTCCCATAAAGACATGAATGAACTCATGACCATAAATAATCCTAGTATACTAAAAGAAAATGGTTAGTAAGATAATTCTAACTATCTTTTTTTTTAAATTCTTGGTGTTGCTTTTTGTTTTGTAGCTCCTCTTCCACATTTGACTTCAGATGATGTTGATAAGGCTTTACAAAACTCTCCACGGTTAATGCATGCTAGAAATACAGGTAATACTGTCACTGCTCCCCTTTTTATAGGCCATTTTTAAAGTTCAGGATTTCTGTCTAAGAGATACATGTTGACTGTAATTTTTTTTTAAAGAGTGCTTAAGTATGTCATATACGTTTTAATATTGATGGGAATTTTATACACCCAATGCTTTTCATAAACATGTAAAACATTTAGCACTCTTGAGGCAATATTGTTCAGTGGGAAGAGAAGAGTTAGTTACCTATGCCTTTCCCATATAAGTATGAACACAATTATGAGGCTCACATGGAATATACCCATCATTAGTTCTCCTGGTAATTTTTCCTACCATGTAAATAAAGGACAGCTTTTGCCAAGGTGTCTTATATTAGTGAAGGAACTAAATTTTTGATTGGTCTTAAATGGGATTTTTTTTTTTGTACATGTGCAAAAGGAAGGAAATGGAAGAAATAAAGAACATTCCAGTCTAGCTTGCTTCCTGACCTTATAATGTTCTACATACAGTGAGATCAGATACTTATTATGCAATTCATGTGAGAAAGTAGAATTGTGAATTTAAGAGGCTGAAACGTATCAGTTGTTCTAATCTTTTTCCATGCTTAATCTTTATTCTATCTGTACTTTTAAGACCAGTGGAACTACTTTAAATATCTTTAAATGGTGCAATCTAATGGTATGCAGTAAATAATGTAGTATCTCAAGCACTTATCATACCAGAGGGAGGCATTTTTGGATTTGTCCCTTAACTAGGAAATCTTACCTGAGACCCACTGTTGTGTGCACCAGACAAATATCCGTTTGGTCTCCTGGACTTCTAGCTATTTAGCTTCTCTCATATCCTTTTTATCAGTTACAGTATATTGGACTGCTACTGTGAATCATTAGATAACTTCCCAGACAAACTCAACTAATCTATTCTTGTGAGCTGTTTGCCCATCAGATCAGATCATTAATTTTAAAAAAGAGAAAGAGAGTAGGGGAAAGAGAGAAATTGTATAGCTTTAATTTTGGTTCAACTTCCTGTAATTAAAACAAGCCCTTTTTTGAGTGGTGCATCTGGTAATGTAATATCTCTAATTTGATCAAGTAAAAGTTCAGGGTATCTCATTTTTGTTATCATGCCTGACAGTTTTAATGATTTCTAGTGACCAGAAATAACACCTTGTAAAATAATTCTTATCTCTGGGCACTTTTTAAGAAAATAGGATAGATTTTTCACTTGATAATTTTTCTATATTTTTACATAATTATTATCAGTAGTAGTAATGTTAATTATATTTATGTATGTTTTGATTTCCCCAGTATAAATAAATACCGTATATAGAATCACACACTGAGGACTTAGAAATTTGATTAATAAAATGTTAAACAACTTGATATCAATTCATGTTTTGCTCTGTGCAATTGTCCTTTTAGAAAGAGATGTGCTATATCATTCTTAACATATTTCATGCATTTCGTAACTTAGCTTAAAATAATTTGCTAAACCTGTTCTAAATAGAATCTAAATTTCATGACTTAATAGTTTATTAATTTTATCCTTGTCCTTTCCCCAATTTTATCATCACAAGAGTTTTACCAACTAGGTTAACTGAAAAGCAGTAAGAGACAATGACAAGATTATTGTCACCCAATGAGTTTAATGTCTGATGAGATTTTAAACCTGAATTCCTCAGTTACAGCCCATATTATGTTAAATTTCTTCATAAAGATTAGTACAGAGATATATGTCTTTTCTACTCTACATCAATGTGTTATATTCCCATGTTTATTTATTCATTCAGTGCCTGTAATTAACAGCTCTTCTGATGTCTTACAAAGTTCAGCTTTATCATAACAATAAAAGATGTAGGTATTGAGTGATAAATAGCATGAGATTTGAGCCCATATATATATCTCAGTGACCTTATACCCTTCCCCTAGAACAATCCTCCTATAAAAATCACCACAAAGCCACAGGAAGAGTTACACGCTGTAAGGAAAATAATTGTACAATATATAGTATGTCTGGCAGACCTGCTGTTACTTATGTTTGTATTAAAGCAAGTAACTTCTATACTAATACATCAATTGTATAATTCAGTGAAAATATACAGTCTGCTGACATATTGGGAAAATATGCTCTAATTGGAATTATTTCATATCAATTGAACTTGATGGGGAAAATTAAGCCATCTGCTGCAGTCAAACCTCACAAATGTCATTCCAAAATATTCATGATATTCACTCATATATAGAACAAAGCAATAATGATGGGGCTTTTTTGTTCTTACTTCCAGGAGGGGCAGCATTTATTTTTCCAAATACTTCAGTTTATCCTGAAGCAACACAAAGAATTACCACCAGGCCAGGTATGCAGAGATATGTACATGATTTACAACACAATCTATGATATTTCTATACTTTTTAAATCTTTTAACACATAATTGCAGTTTTGTCCACTTATAGCTTAGCACACATTGTCAAGGCATACCAAATTCCCTATCAGTATCTGTGACATTAATTATGAAGAGGTGTCTTAGGAAATCTTTGATGATACTCTGCTTCCTGTCACAGCCTTCCCCCTTTCAAACAATTTTTCTCCTTCCCCAGAATTTTTCCCCCTTTCCCCCTTACTAGGCAGCATACTTTCTGCTTTTGTTTTTCCTTTGTTTATCCAGAATCTGTTCAGTGCCTATCAAATTCAGCAAGAAAACCAAGACAGCTGTTCTTGTGCTGTGCAATATGCTGAAACACTATTAAAATTTTACTGAAAGAAAGAAAAGTTTTGTCTTTACTGAAAGAGAAAATAATTCTCAGTGCCACTGTGTAGAAGTAGGTGCTGAACAGGAGCAAAGGGAGAAAGTGAACAGAAAGGGAAGAATAGGAGGAAATATTTGGCACAGGATTTTTTTAAAAAAGAATTTGTAGCACTGAATTTAGGGCATGCTGAAAGATCAGGAAAGATGGCATGAATTTAAGCTCTGCTGCGTCTTGTGAGGAATTGGTTTCAAAGAGATTAAGCATAAAGAGGATTTTATTACAATTGAATACACCAACTTTTTTGGTTTTGGTTCTGTGCCTTCAGTTTATTTATGAATTAGTTTTCTTAGCATTTTTAAGAAAAAAATAAAAGCAAACAATATACTTTGGTATTCTGTTCACAAGAGTCTGCACAGTATATAATGAGATAGGGAGATCATCAGTAATATGGGTTCTAGAGTTCTTTTCAATTCCTTAAAAATAGTTGCATACTGGCCTGATGGCTGTGAAGGAAGGGGATTAAGAGGCTGCCAACATTTTGAACTATTACCTTCTAATTGGTGCACGAAAAGGGAATTTTTAACTTTTTCCCACAACCCTCAGCAGAGTCTGGCCCATTATTGAACCTGAGGTTGTGGGGGTTGCCATCTTCTTTCACACCAGTGTTGACCCTATTTGATTTTGGAGAATTATACAGACAAACAAATTGAGTTTTCATTCCCTTTACATAATTTATTTCCAACATTCTCTTTTGTTTGGAAAGAATTGTAGGATAGGAAAACATACAAAGCATTCTTTCCAGCTTTGTTATCATCAGTCACCGTAACAGATTTTTGCACTTTTTTTTCCTGTGTAATGAAGCAATAATTATGTCTCTCTGTGTGTTTCTGCTCTGCCATTCCTTTTCATCTGTGTATATCTGTGCATATATACACTAAGAAGTACATCATAGACTGCATGCATTGTATTTGGAGGCATGAAATAGGAAGAGGAGATGGTCAGCAATATTCCTTAGCTGCTGTCAAACTGCCTTTCCTGTAGACATTTGCTGAGGGACTTCTCTCTAGACCCCAGCTTGATCTGACCATTGTTAATTTTTTCTTTCATTAGCTGCTGTTTTGCCTATACACAATCATATATACAATGAATTTGGTCCCTCCTGTTCAGTTGTCAAAAGTTATTTTGCTAACATACAAGCAAAATCGCAAACTTTTGTATATAATTTATTTCCACTCATCTTTTGGTTGAAAGGAATAGAAAGGTTCTAAATTAAGTAATACAAGGGTCAAATAAACCTATAATAAGGAAAGAACAGAGCAGGAACAAAACAGTTTTAGCGTATAGCCAAATGTAAGAAGTGAAAAAGATTGTGTGGAGGAAGACATATTGGAATTGTTTGCTTTTTAAAATGAATTTCCACCCATAGTAAAACTTCTTATAGGCCTTAATGCACACATATCTTTTATGTTATTTCATTTTTAAAAAAAACTTGAGACTGATCTTCAAAAGGTATTATAGAAATTCTTCTCAAATAAGGATGGAAAAATAGAGGAAGTAGCTTTTATTTGGAAAAAGGAATAAATCATGACTGGCACAATTTCATGTTTTAATACATTTTTCTTCTGCAAGAATTTGTTAGATTGCAATCTTATTGCTTTTGCAAGAATAGATAAATTGTTTATATTCCACAACAATATATATGTTGAAGCTACTGCTATGCACTACACCTAGCTTAACAAAAATATCTTGAAATGTACACTTTAAAAAAGGGATAGGATATTTTGAGTGTGGCCATGCAAACTATTCAGTTGAGGATATTTTTAATACTGTTGTAATGTATATTATGAATATCCTCAAATTAATTTTACAATGTCAAGTCCTCATTAAATTTTCTTAAACTTATTTCAGTGTTATAATGAAAACTCATAGAAAGCCATAGTATAGACAGATAATGCTGTCACATAACTTTCTCATAACTGCAATTTTATGAAAGAAAGGAATGTTCATAGCTGTCCATTTGATGGTAGTATCACATCTTCATTCAGTAATCTAACTAATACATGTATGCATATAATAAATTGGAGCTTTCTAAAAATGAGACAAAAGGAATGTAGAATCCTAAAGACTTCTGTTTCCATGATTTTAATGTTAATAATTCATCTTTAATTATCTTGGTTCTTTACTATGCAAAATAGAATAGAATCATACAAATCAAATGAACACAAAATAATGCAATGCAATGCAATGTAATGTGATGCAATAATAGACGGATAAATGTCAAATATTGTATATGTTTATAACTCCAGGAAGATTTTTTTTAATACAGTGGCAATTAAGTAGACTGCTGTGAGAATAATGTTGAATTTTATATTGTGGTGAATATTTTGCCCTCAGGAATACTACTAATTTCAAGAGCTACCAGATGACAGACATTTGGCCTAAAGCAGCATTCCTATTTTCTATCAGATCTACTTATAGTGATTTCTTCTGCACACAGATATGCCTTATGAACCAGCCAGAAGATCGGCATGGACAAGTCATGGTCATCCTGCTCCTCAGTCAAAAGGTAAAAGATATAGTGACTGAAAATCCAGTGGAAGTACCATGACTATTGCTAAAGCATTTCACCTTCACAAAATTTCAAACTTAAAACAACCAATATAAAACTTATATTTTAAAAAATCCTCAGCTTCATTATCTGTTTTAAGAATTGAGAGCACATATTAATAAATTGATTTTCATGGTGAAATCAAGAGTATATTATGTAACTATAATCAATAAGTTTGATCTTCAAGGTTGCCCGGAAGTCAGATGGCACACGCATTTCATTAATAAAAATAATTCAGTCAGATGTGATAGACTATGAACAGGGAATCCCTATTCTAGTTGTCCCTTAGATAATGAACCCAGCTAATGAGCAAACACCTTCATTGCACCCCATATTGATAGTTTGGCTATAAAAAACTAGATAAGCACAGTACTAAAACATGCAGATCCTCTAGTTGTATTGGACAAATACCAAGAAAAACCATAACAAAAAAAACCCTATATCTATTCCTTCACAGTGTAAGCTGTTCTGAAACCAATAGATTTCATATTATTTCTGTGATATTATTATTATTATGATTAAAGTACCAAGTACCTCCTTTCCAAAGAATATTGACTCTTTGACATAGATGGTAATAAAGGTTTTGGTTTGGTTTTCTGTTTTTAGCTGCCCAAGCATCATCTTCAGCTGTGACCAAAACGGAAGACCAGCGCCCTCAGTTGGGTATGTCTTTGGTTGTGCATATTTTGTATCCTAAAGATGATGGAAAATGGTCAGTAGTTTATGCTTGGTGTGAGCAATATGGACAGGCAATAGCCATTTTATATACAGTCACAAACTAAATGTACTGTATTGTTTTTCAAATTATTTTAAAATAATGAAGATAGCTGCCATGCAAGTAATAAGGTAAATAAATAATGTGCAAAACCTGTGTGCTAAATTGAAAACGATATAAAGTCTTTGGCTCTGCAGCAGCATCTTCTGACTGGGATCATGAATTGTATGTTTCACTGGTTCTATACAAAATTCATGGTTTCAATATAAGGACAGAAATAAAAATATTTTTTAACCATAATGGATTGTCATGGAGAGGAAAAAAAAACTTGGTCCTTTCTGTATTATTTTGGAATCTGAACCTTTCCCTAGTTAAATTCCTAAAATATTAGGTCTATGGAAGGGGTCAAATATACCATATCTCTGTTTAAGAGAGAAATCATTGTGTGTGTGTTTGTGTGTGTGTGTGTGTGTGTGTGTGTGTGTGTCCATATGCATATGTGTGTATATATAGTAAATAGTTTGTATAGTGAAGAAGAAGAATAAAAACCACCACTGTCTTGGCTTTTCTATGTCAGTTGCTACTCTTCAAAACACACCTCCAGATCTAAAAGAACTCAGTTACACTGTAACAGGTGGACACTCTGTTATAACTTTCTGTCAGTGGAATGGCAATAATGCTGGGAGATGGATTAAGCCACTTAACACTGTCCATTACTCTTCACGCCTCAAAGCCCTCATATTTCTGTCATGGTAGCAATAAAACTGATTAAATTGACCTTAACTGACAAACCATCATAACTTAACTAAGGCGTACAAGTAAGCACAAAGAATTTTGTTGTAATCCTGTCTATAGTTACTAGAATAAACTCCCTTTTTATGACCCTGTAGTGTAATCCTTTAATTTGGGGTAGAGTTGAGGCGAGTAGATGGAGCTGAACATTTATGGGCCGTATGCCTTTCCTGATACCATGCAGGGTTTGCTGCATAACTTTTTTTCTTTAAGCCCTAGGAGAGAAACATCTGCTGCTATCTAAGATTGAACTTTCAACCTTCTTAGCGGGAGGCGAGCATCTTCACCACTAGGCCACCATCCTGCTATATTCTATATATATAGTATATAGAACTATATTCTATAGTTACTTGAATATGAGTATCTAAATGTATTTGTTTTAACGGATGGAAGATTTACTTTGCAGATAAATACAGATTACCTAAATTAGCAATATTATGATCATGCATATTAATCCCCAGCATTTAGTTTGGAAATATTTTTAAATTTCTTACATAATTTTGGCTTATGTCTATTTTTATCTTGATTTAGATCCTTATCAAATTCTTGGTCCAACAAGCAGTCGTCTTGCAAATCCAGGTATGATAAAATATTAATGCTTTACCAATTTTATCTGAAAATAAGAAATGTATTAATTACCCAAAAGATCAGAGTGATGATAGCTAATATTCCTGTATTTCATGAGTCTGTCATTGTCATCAAAATCATGTTTAATTTTAACTACAGGAGAAAAAAGTGAAAGAAGAGAAGTCTTAAAAAGTTCTACTAATGTGTCACTGAGTGTTTTTGAAAACCTGCTCCTTTTCAGACCATGTTAATATATTAGATGGTGTCTGCAGCATTAGAAAAACAAGTATAGGTCCTAAATTTTTTAGTGTGGCTGCTTGGATCCTACCAATCTGATCTCAGTTACTTAAAACAACAATTAATAATGAGAAAGTGTTTGTATGAAATTGATTAATAGATTTACATAAACTTACTCATAAAGTTTACTTCTGAATGGTTATCCTGGTACAAATCTGTCACAAAGACTGTCTGCTTCCAATTCAAAAGTAAATGACTATCTAGCAAAGGTCCCAATAAGTCATGGCCATGCTGAAGAATAAACTTATAAAGTTTATCAATACATGGTGCAAATTGTTAAAACTTTTAGTTTAAAAATAAATACTTGATAAGTAATTCAATCTTCCTAAGTAATAAAGAGTAAATATTGTCTTCTATGGAACTTGACTAGCTATAATACCTTACTTTAATGGGGCTAAACTTCAACGTTCACATGCTGTGGATGATGATTCAAGGATGTGTACAAGGGATAGGAGTATTCAAGGGATAGGGGTTGCCATGATTTGAAGACCTTTTCTGCTTTTCTCATGAACACACAGAAGACAGCTTTGGATGGAAGTGTACTGTATAGATAATTGTGACATCATTGCATATCTTTGGTCCCCTCATATATTCCTTATCTTCTCCAAGCAGGTGAATCAGCTAAGGAACAGGGAAAGGACAGCCTAGAGGTCTATGCAGATTATGGACCACTGTTTCATACATGGGCTAGAAAGGTTTTGTATTAAATTTCTAATAAATGTCTCTAACGATTCTTCTTTTTTCCCCCTACCTACAGGGAGTGGGCAGATACAGCTGTGGCAGTTTTTGTTGGAGCTTCTGTCAGATAGCTCCAATTCTAATTGCATCACCTGGGAAGGTACCAACGGAGAGTTCAAGATGACTGACCCTGATGAAGTTGCACGGCGCTGGGGAGAAAGGAAGAGCAAACCCAATATGAACTATGACAAGCTCAGTCGTGCTCTTCGTTATTATTATGACAAAAATATAATGACTAAAGTCCATGGTAAACGTTATGCCTACAAGTTTGACTTCCATGGAATTGCTCAAGCCCTTCAGCCACATCCTCCAGAATCATCCATCTATAAATATCCATCAGACCTGCCCTACATGAGTTCCTATCATGCACACCCCCAGAAAATGAACTTTGTTGCTCCTCATGCTCCTGCTTTGCCTGTTACTTCTTCCAACTTTTTTGCTGGACCCAGTCCATACTGGAATTCACCAACTGGAAGCATCTATCCCAACACTAGGCTCCCAACCACTCATATGCCTTCTCATCTTGGCACTTACTACTAAAGAGGAAGAATATTTTAAAGAGTATGTTTTCCTGAAATACAAGGAATTAGAACCAGCAAAACTGAACAAAATGTGCCTGAAAGACTGATAATATTGACCAAGATATAAAACAAACTTTTTTATATTGAGAGATTAAAAAGTGTAAAGATATGTTGACATCAGGTTTAAACATAAAAGAAGACAATACACATCTAGGTAAAAATTTGTAACAATAACTAGAACATGGGGCCAGAAGAAATTTATAAGTTTGCTATGTCTTTTTTCATATCACAGTAAAGTAATACAAGGATATTCTATTATGAAGTTGGATGCAATAGATGAATATATAAATTCAAAAAACCAAATATGTAAAAAGTGGGATAAATATATCTCTAGAGCAGACTGTGTTGTGGTTGGGATAAAATCGTCTGTATTCCATCAAGAGAGAGGGATCAGATATTTCAAAACTGTGAACACAATACAAGTTAAAGTTTCTTGATAATGTTACAGAGCTCTGAGCCAAACATTGGGTTTGAGGATGTGCTAAGGGCAAGTGTATGACTGAAGACTAAGGGTTCAAATGTCAGGAAGTTCTCCTATGCAAACCCTGTTGCAATAAATAGGAGCTCACAAGAGCACTATTAAAACCCTATGTCTGATAAATGTAGAGGAAAGGAATAGGAAAACATGGGGTGATAAAGATGAAGGAAAATGTATTTCTTTTAAAGAGGGGGAAACTGACAGTTTTTGAAGAATTATTTGCTCGGACATGACAAATACCATAGTATGTATTAAGCCATTTTCAGTATTATCAACAAAAAAAAAAAGCCTTTATTTTTAAGTCAAAAGAGGGAGAAATAGTGATAATCGAAGTATGCATCTCTCTATAAAGATATTAAACTGGAATTGTGTTCTATTTAAAATAACATTTCAAACCTCATTCTTCTTAAGGGAAGTTGTTGTCTACCAGTTGAAAAGGACAAAACCCAATTGCCAATAGACATATTTGTTAGGCAGCGCCAGTTTTTCTTTCCGAGTCGCGAACGCTGTGCGTTTGTCAGAATGAATTATACAGGTCAGTGTTATTTTTTCTTTTGATATAATAATTATATAACTTATGCATTTATACACTACGAGTTGATCTCGGCCAACCAAAGACATAAAAAATGACAATCAGAAATACTGTGGCCTTGAATTTTAACTCTGTATGCTTCATGTTTACATTATGAATTTAACTAGTTCTTAGAAAGCAGAATGTATGTAATAAAATAAGCTTGGCCTAGCATGGCAATGCAGATTCTCACTGTTGTCTAAATTTTCATTTTTTTGAAAAAGAAAAAAAAATTCTTTTTTTTAGATGAGTAAAAATAAATATTTTTTAAAATTGTTTATAAACTTGAAATACTTTTTAAAAAATGAAATAAAAGAAATTAGAACATACTTACTTTTACTTCACCCATTAAAAATTCAGCTCTAACAGTAATTATTACAATTTGGCAAACCAAATGAGAATCCAGACTAGATGTGGAATTGACAGGAAGTCTGAAAGGGCCTATTGCAGAATTTCTGATGTGCTTCTCTTGTTAATGTTGATCTGGAAATCTGAAAATATTCATAATCCTAGAATTTTCTTTATATATAAATCTAGAGCAGAGTTTCCCATTCCATTGTATGGATTGCTGCCTATTACATCACATTAATTTTCAATGTGTTGATATTGTGTTGTACAAATGTCAATGACAGTAAGGAAGATTAAATGATAATTAGCAGGGAGAACAAGAAAAAGAAAAAGCTATATATTCGGTATATCTCTTATTTCTACCTTAAAGAACTGCAGCCAAAGCACTTCTACTTTCCTTATTGAAACATATTACTTTAGCTTCCTGCTTCCTTGTTCAACAAGGCAACCTTCTCTGCCTGTCACCAGTATTATACTGTATAACAACTCTGTTCTATTCTCTGTTTTTAAAAATGTATTTATCTATATTTTCCATTGGCACAAGGAACCTAAATAAAATTATGGCCAATTTAAAAACATACACAAAAAAGAGTCCAAAGAATATTATTATGGATTTCATTCTGAATAAACTCAGTTACTTAAAATATAAAATTCCTTGCTATAACGGGTTTTATGATATGGAGGACTTGCATTCATCTGTGATTGATGTATATATGGATATGAGCTTCTCCATACATATTTATTGAAACCATTTTGAGTTTTATATAAAAAAAATCACCTATCCACTTTATATATTCTTCCTATATATCAACCTTTGTAGATTTGTCTTGAATATTTTATAGAATTAATTGTATGTATTTCTTAGCATGATTATTTGCTCAAAGCAAAAAAAAATTCAGGTACTTCCAAGGCTTGACTATTCACTTGACTGACTCATTGACTTTGCACTTTTTCATCTATACAGGAAATGTAGCCAAGCCTAATAGTTAAAATGTAATAAAATCTATCTTAAATTTTGCCATGCAAAAGAAGTGCAGAACTTACATAGCCTTCAATAAAATAAATTATCCGTATTCAGCCCACTGTATTTGGTTCTCTGCAAGAGAGCAAACTGCCTCCAGATCCACCTGGTAGCAAGTTCCTTCATCTTGCTAGATGGCAGGGTCAGGACTGAGCTGAATTTAATCTAGACCTGAGCCATCCGTCAGTTGTTGAGGGAAAAAGGAGTAAAAAAATAATTACAATGAAATGATATTTTAAAAATGCATCCATCAGGAAGCAGAGGAAATGGATATTCTCTTTGTAGTCAGGTGTTTCCTGTACAAAGAGGTACTCTCAGGCTATTGCATATGATGGAATGTGAATTAAATCTAAATATTCTGGATTACAGGTTAGGCTCTCTACAGTATTAGGCCTGCCAGAAGTTGAAACTGGATAGTATTAGATACAATAACCTCTCTTCTATGAAATTTGAACAAAGACCTAATTCAAAATGTAGGAGTTCTAACATTACATCATACATACCCTGTTTCCCCCAAAATAAGACATCCCCTGATAATAAGCCCAATCGGGCTTTTGAGAATATGGCAATAAAGCCAAGCGCTTATTTCAGGGTTCAAAAAAATATAAGACAGGGTCTTATTTTCAGGGAAACACGGTATTAAAGTCATTTCAAATTTTCACTCCTACATTGGCTCTGGATTCTCTAATCCAGATAATGAGTTATTAATATCTGAAAATTGATCTTTTCAGTTTTTCATTCTGGGAACTTTGTTCCTTCAATTTCATATCTCTATTTTTTTTTAAGACACTCACAAGCCATTCTATCTCTCTGTAGTTGGGTGGTTACTAACAAGTTTTTATTAAGATACACGCTCTTTAAAATTGTACTTTTCTTTTAGAATAAAAGTGTTACTGTTTCAAAATGTTTGGTGTAACTACTTCCTTGGTGTAAGATCCAAAATATAATTAAATGATGACTAGACCTAGATCAATCAATTTTGGCTTTTTATCACACTTCTTGTATTCTTAGCATGTATTTAAGAGGGGATTTTTATGGTCATTTCTTGTTTTAACACAGTATTACTGTCAATGAAATGATAGAAGAGAGTCAAGGAAAGTACAGTATATACTTGTCACTATCATTGATCTTGTAGTTATTATTAAATCAACCTACATAGACACAATTCCACTTCAACTGCAAGAGCTGTAATTTTACTACAGCATGGATGCCAAGTTTTGTTTCCAGGGCCTCTTGCACCTGATTTTATTGTTCCTCTGTTTCAGAATCTTTTTTGTATTATTCCTGACCTCTTAAAATAAATGGAGAGCTTGTTCCTGCTGGTATGTTGTGCTATTCAGGCAGCTAATTGTCCACCATTCCATGGAAATTTCATGTTTTAGTACAGATCGGTACTGTATCAAAATGGTGATTGATTTCAGAAACAATGTTCCTGGTTATTGATATTCTTAATCTTTTGTTACATTTCAAAATTTGAAGTTGAAATTTCATTTATCATCTCCAAAGTAATTTCAGGTTTGTTGGTATTTTTTTTAAAAAAAATACTTAAAGATATATACAGAAGGACATTTTGTTACTTTATTTTAATGCATGCAAATCAGTTTAAAAGGCAAAATAGTTTTCTCTTTTGGGGGGAAATATTAGTGACCACGTTACTTGTCACATTTTTCTCTGCTAAAATACTATTTTAAAGGTTTTCAGTGAAATTTATATTTGCATTCCCCAATCCCAATCTTCAATATACAAGCAGGAAGAGTTTTATTTATTATCTATTTACTTATTTATTAAATATATATAGATGCAAAAGACGCTCTGAGGATGCACAACAATCATGAGTTGCATTTCACTTCATAGCAAGAATTTCACCCTTGTTGCATTTCTGTGCTTGAGAATTGTAATTGCAGGAATTCCTGCTGCTGTCTAGCACATAGCCCACCACAGACGTCCTCCTGGAGAAATATTATGGCAAGCAGTCATATTCTATTTTGTATTTGGTTTTGAAGTGTTCTGCATGGTTGGCTTTAGCTTGGCAAACTCTCTTCAAATAATTCCATAAAGCTTTCAAATTCTCCTTTTGTATATATTCTAGAGAAACTGAATAACATATAAGCCATTGTGTGTACAGTATAGACTACTATGTAAGACAATAACAACAATAACAACATAGCATTGTAAGGAGAGTCAAGTATAATTGTATATTATATTTACTAATTTTCCTGAATTTCTCAATGGTTTCACTACCATGAGTCATGGTTACTTCACTGTGATGAGTGACAGTTAGAGATATGCATAGTTTCAGTTACAATATATTGTCTCAAAAAAATGAATTAACACTACCTTTATGATAGTATGTATGCACATGATCTTCAAGTAGAAGACTCGTAACAATCCTGTTTGTTTTTTCACCAACTATCAAAATCGTAACCATGAATTTTTGTCCCCTAAATCCTGAACAATTTGGAAATGTTGGCTGTTGTGTGGACCTCAACTGCCAAACTTTTGGGATTTCAAGTACACACACTTAAAGTTGCCAAGGTTGAGAAACAGTGATATATATGTTACTGCAATCATACTTAATTGTCTCACAACATTTTCTATATGACTTTGGTGGTGGGGCTGGGGGTGCTCTCATTTGCAAGCAACTGATTTTATTTTCAACATCTTCATCCTCATTCCTGCTGGACTGTCTTTGCAGTTAGTTACTCTTCTTTCCTATTCCATAGTTTCATTTCGTTTCTTCCACAGCATATTCCAAAGATTTACTTTTGCTTAAAGTCAATAAATTTTAAATAGTACTAGATTCTGCAATAAATCTTCACTTATTCATTTCTCTTTCCCACAAATTATTTCTTATTTCTTATTAGTGTAGTTTTGTAAAGTTAAGAATTGTAAATGGTAAATCACTGTGCATCCTTTTCCTGCCATTTTCCCTTGAAGCTATAGTCCTTCCCTTCTCATTAAGAAGAATTACCAGAAAGACTGAGAATGGACAAGATATCTGAATCGAATCAGGCTGGAAAAATATCACTGGGATTAACTGCTGCATATAGGAAACCATGTAAATTGAACCCCTGTACTACAGCTTATGAATATGTGGAATTTAACATTCTATCAAATATTTCTTGTAAACTTCAGGAACACTTTCCATAAAGTTTATTCTGTTCTGGAGAAAAATAATTTATTTATTTATTTATTTTTTATCAAATTTATAGACCGCCCTTCTCCCGAAGGACTCAGGGCGGTGTACAGCCAAAGTAAAAAACATAGATACAAACATTAAAAACAATTTAAAAAGATACATATAAATTTGGCCCCAAAGTTAAAAAACAGTAACAAAACATATTAAAAACATTTAAAAAGCATTAAGCCAGCCCGGCTTGCTGAAAAAGGAAGGTCTTTTATATCTCATAGGTGCTTTTATATCTCAGATAATTAAGGAGTGCAATGTGAAACCTGTTTTCTATGAAATTTGGCTGCTTATATCACTCAGAACAAATCTCGCCAGGTTCAAATCTCACCAGGTTCAACGTTGACTCAGCCTTCCATCCTTCTGTGGTTGGTAAAATGAGGCCCCAGATTCTTGGGGGCAATATGCTGACTCTGTAAACTGCTTAGAGAGAGCTGTAAAGCACTGTGAAGCAGTGTATAAGTCTACGTGTTATTGCTATTGCTATTATTTTTAAAAATGACTCTTTAAAAAATACATATATAGCAGTACCTCGGTACTCATCATAGATTGGTTCTGGGAGGCACAATGAGTATTAAATGAATAGCAAACAATTTTTTCCCATAAGGAATAATGTTGTGAGTCATAAGGCAGATGACACCGACAAGTTCCAGCTTGTGTGTCGAATACCAAATAAATCATGATTATCAGGATAAAATGTTCATGTCAAAATGCATTGAGTATCAAATTCAATGAGTTTCAAAACAGTTGAGTACTGAGGTACCACGGTATATAAATTATGATACATAAAGGCATATGAAATTATTAAATGACTATGCTTACCCAATTCTACTGAGGTACTTTCCATTCTCCCAGGGTTGTTGATGGGGATGCTGTCTCTTACTTGCAGACCATTTTTAATGAGCATGCTAAGAAGGGAAGCATCACACCCAGAATATACTATACTTTGCCTCATCAGTCTATGCTGATGAGAAATTTGAGAAAATGAAACAAAAGGTGGGAACAAATGCACATATAGTACTGGGTGCCACTTCCAAGAAATATAAAAGCCTTCTAAACTAAAAGTTCCATGTCTACTAAGGTATCAGTGCCAGTAAGCAGGTATTTAAGTAGAAGCATAATGGAATAGAGAGGAAGATTTATTTATTTATTTATTTATTTATTTATTTATTTATTTATTTATTAGTTCGATTTATATGCTGCCCTTCTCCGGAGACTCAGGGCGGTTTACAATGCATTAAGCAATAGCCTTCATACTTTTGTATATGCCTGCTTAGTAGGGCTTTCGGCCCCCCCCAAGCGGTGTTCTTTTTTATACAAAGTCAGCTTATTGCCCCCACAATCCGGGTCCTCATTTTACCAACCTCGAAAGGATGAAAGGCTGAGTCAACTTTGAGCAATAAAGGTTGCTCAAGAGATGAAGGTTGCTTGAGATAAAGAACAATACACAGTTTGAAACTGTTATTATATATATGTTAGCACAATCAAGACCTGAAATGATACAGGCAGGCATTTGTAATGATCTTTAGGAGAGTATAATAGTTCCATAGAATAAAAGTATCAACTTGCCATATTATATCAGGGGCAGTGACAGTAAAGTTAAGAAGGCCAGACATCAGCTAGAGGCAGGAAGAAGAAACAGTATAAAGACTTCCAGTTGGCTCCGAGAGCTTCGCTGACGCTCCTTCCGTAAATGCCACCAGAACAGCCAAAAAACAGCTGTCTGGCGGCGAAAAACCCTCTCCCCGGGCAAAGGGGAGAGAGAAGAGCCGACAGGCGGAGGTAGAGCCCCCCAAGTGCACTAGGAGAAATCCTGGGGCGCGAAGAGTGTGGGCTCCCTATTGAAGCCTGTCAAGCTGCTCCGGACCAGGGACGACTCCGCTAAAGCAGAGCTAGAAGCCGCAACCAAAATCTGCTGAAAATAACTGGGGGGACTTTTAACATCTTTACTTTGATTGCAGACAGAGCAAATCAGGAGAAAAAAAGGAAAAAATTGCAAGTAACATTTTAACTCCGTTTTAAAATGCAGAAAATGGCGTCTGAGAGCGGGAGGAGGAAGCTACTAGGGAAAGTGCTTGTTAATGCTTGTTAACGTTTGCAACAGTGATACAGCTACTGGATTACACCTTAAGAGAAAGTTTTAAAGTGGAAGCGGCCAGGAAAAGAATCTGGTATCGAGGAAAAGAATTTGGTACTGACTTTAATTAAAAGCTTGCTTTTATACTGTGTGGAAAATAGTTGGAATTGTCGTCCTGATAGCTGGATGAATACAAAGTGGCTGAAATATGGCTGACATCAGGGCTGGTGAATCAGCAAATTCTCAAGCTGTGACTGTTCAGGTTTTTCAAGAACTTTTAGACTCTTTTAATTCTGCTCTTTTGGATACAATTGAAAGAGCTTTTTCAAAAAACAGCTTGGAAAATCATAAGCAGTTGTTGGAGGGATCAGCAAATTCTCAAGCTGTGACTGTTCAGGTTTTTCAAGAATCTCTAGACTCTTTTAACTCTGCTCTTTTGGATACAATTGAAAGAGCTTTTTCAAAAAACAGCTTGGGAAAACATAAGCAGTGGTTGGGGAGACAGCAGGAAATTACTCAGAGGAGTTTGTTTTTGGCTGTCAGGATTGAAAGGCAGGCTGGCACAGTTGAAACAAAGGTTTTGGCGGACGTTTCCATTCAATTGATAGAAAAGCAACAAATAGACTCTTTATTGCAAGCTGACAATCTTTATGTTAACAAATTTTGGCCATATGGACAAAGGAATGGACTGAATGATTATACAAGCAAGAAGAGTCGAAATGGGGATTTCAAATTAGAAAACGTGACCTCAAGAAGAGAGCGAGTATTTCAGAAACATCAACCTCAAACCAACATTTAAAAATTTTCAAAAATAAAATTGGGGGACTGTTGAAAGAATTTATTAAAAAAAGGATTGGAAAAAATATTGAAAGAAGAGAAGAACAGAAGATTAAGAAAGATATCTTCCTGTAGATTTTGAAATTTGCATTTGGCAAATATGTGTTTTAATAACATAAGATTATTTTATTTTAAAAGATATATGAGATAAATTGTGTAAGCTTTCAGGATGCCCAACTTTTTGAAGCAAAGAGGGTTAATGTTAAATTTAGAATCCTATTACA